CCCCAAAACCCCAAAACCCCAAAACCCCATTCAGATGGATTTGTGAGGATTTATGAAATCATGATTAGATCAATTAAATAAATTATATCATTGTCATTTCTTGGTTATTTTAATAAGTTTTCTATTATTTTAATTTTCTCATTGCTACTTCTTGTCCTTCGTTCCTAGAATAGACTTTTGTAAGAATCTTTTCACAGATTAGCTAATTGAGGACTACTTAAATGATTTGAAAGAGTCTTGGCCTCCTATATAGTACTCCATATCATCAAAATCAAGCGAGTCTTTCATCTCGCTAACTTCAACCTTCTTCTCAGTATTTCTTGAAACCCCTCTACTTGGTTTTGATACCTTTGATTTTGTCTCATGCTTTTGTGTCAAGGGTCTATTAGTTTCCAAGTTTTCAGTCATAATTTAATCATAGGGTTCTTCAATCTGATTCTTTTATTTTTCCTCTTCACGTTTAAGCTCCTCCTCTTCATTGATCTTTTTAAGGTGTTCTATTGTCTCTAAGTTAGCCTCTTCATCAAACACTACCAATGTCTATTTCCTCTTTAATTTAGGTCTCTTAACTTAGGCTTAACTGATCTTTTCATGCAGTATTCTCTGATGTTCCTCCTCAAGTATCTTCTTAACTGCCTCCTTCTTAGTAATTTGACGGATTTTTTATCTTTTTGCTCCCTAAGCACTTCTCACTTGCTTTTAGACAAGCTCTGATTATCTTATACCATCTGGCATCATACTTCTATGGGCTACGAGATTATTATCAGCCTATCCAAAACTGCTGATCTCATTAGCTGATTTTCTCACGTTAGATAGCTAAGCAAGTTCTTCACTAATGTTATTTGAATCATCCTCTAAGACTTGCGTAACATGCACACTCTTTTCGCTTTCTTGTGGATTGTCTTCTGATATTTCATGAACTTCGAGCTCTCTATGAATGGAATCACTTAGACCGGGTAATGCTTCCAGTAGTCTTTCTGGCTCTAGTCCCTGTATTTTAATTTTCTCTTTTTTTTCTTGCTCTTTTAGTTTCTCATCTACTTTTTTAACATCAATTATACTGTCTGTATATCCCATATACCTAGCCTTCTCGTTTAGTCGCTTCAGTTACTCTACTTACTCTTCGTAGTGAGCATAGTCTTCAATTTCTTGATATTCCATTTCAGTGTCATAGTCGTTACCAGTTACATCATCATCATCCACCAATAGATCTCCATTAGTTGACAATTTATTACGATTAGTCATGATTTGACTATCAAAGTCGTCATTATTTTTATTCAAGTAGAGCATTGAATGGCCAGTGCTTTGATGTTCTAAGACAGCTTTAGACTTCTTGTTCTTAGTTTTGAATCGATCAAAGAGTTGAGACTTTTTATTTTTCCTCTGCATCTTCTCCATAGTGTCATCTAGGAAGCCATTGTCAATGTTAATACTGATATTATCTTGTTTTTCTCTAGATGCCATAGTCTTGGCACTGCTGAGCCCATCTCTGATACTTGTGTAATTGTTATTACTAACTGCTTTAGATGCTTTATTCTTCTTTGGCGTCTTCTTCTTGTCTTCTCTGATTCTCTTCTTTTCCTTCTCCATAGAGTCCTCATGGTTTTGGGTTTCAATTGGTTAGTTAAGTCCCACCTTTTGTAAATCATGAACCTTTGAATAGAATTGCTTTTGCTGCTGCAGATCTATCTACACTCTTACTTATCTCTTTTTGTTCATAGGATCAATATACTCTTTCTTTCCTTGTGCAATCGCTCTAAGTCTCTTTGGATCAAGATGAACCTGGAGCTTCTCAAGTGTGTTTTCATTTAGTATCAGTTTACCTTAGTTGTACATTCTCTTGAGTTCTTTGATTCTCTTCAGGAAAGCCTGCTTGATCTCGTCATCTTTTGTTTTCTGCTACAGTTTCAGCAGCTCACTTGCGAATTTACCAGTGTTGAAGCATAAGCACAGTACTAGATAGATTTTAGGGAACTTATTTCTTATCTTTAGTCTGATTTCATTGAACATGCAAAATAGCCAGTAAACAAGGAAGATGAGATTGGCAATCACTATGATGATGAAGAGCACCAGCATTGAGCTGTCACTCAGTGCTATAGAGCCTTACGAGTATTCAGGATTTTCTTTAATCCAGTCTGCAGGCTTATCTGCAATAAAGAAGAGTCCGCAGTAAACAGTAATCATCGAAGTGACAAGTGAGAGCAATTCCAAATTATTTAGTTCTATTGTGATGTATGGCTTTTTCTTCAAGTTGACAATCAAGAATCTATAAGAGCATTTTTTAAACATAGAGTAAACTTACACAATCAGAATAACGAATACTATAAGAGCTTAGGCAATGACTCCGATGTTCTTGACAAAGACAGCAATGAAAATGAGCGTCATTTTTCTGTACATATTGAGAATCTCCCAGAAGTAGAATTCTTCCTTGTAGCCTCTGAACAAAAATCCATATCTTTCTTTGGAATCGATGCTTGACAAGTTGTTGCTGACTTGGTACATCATCAAAAGGGCAAATGCTGGGATTCCCAAACCCCAGACTATGATACTTGGGATAGCTACAAAGAAACTGAGGATTCTATGCTGAGCACTCCAGCAGATTACCTCCAAGTCACTCACTACTCTAGACTCATCCTCAATGTCCATGCATTTGAAGTCTAAGAACATATATTGTACGATGCTAGGATGAATCAAGAAAAGCACGATCACCATTGTGGAGATCAGCCTTGATCTGATGCCAATCTCAGTCTTCTTGATTATTTTGAAAACTCTCCAGAAGATAATTGTAGCCAGAGCACAAACGAAGGGCAGTATACCGAGCATCACCAGTTTCTAGAAGAATATTCTCATGTCGTAGAATGGAGCCTTGTTTCCTGTGAACTAGGCATTCGACGTTCTCAAGTCTAAGAAGCAGTCAAAACTCAGAATCTACGTTGAGACAGCAGCTACAGGCTTCGATGTGTCAAAGAACGCCATGACTTAGGCTGGCCAGTTGAAGTTGAAAGACGCCGTCAGCATTATAAGTTAGATGTGGTTCAGCAAAATCTTGAAGAATATACCTGTGATATTGCCTGTCTCCTTGGCTCCTTGAAGAGTAGACCTCACAACGAAGACGACGACCACAATCATAGCTAGGAACACAAACACTATTCTTACTATGTTTGAAGTTTGATCTGGGCATTTACCGCATTCGTACTCATTTTTCCTTGAAAATCCAACGATGCAATCAGCGCATAGAATCTTCTGGTAGCCCTCAGCACATGATCCCATAGGGTTATTTTCAGGCTCAACCATACCAAGACAAGCTGCTTCGTAAAGACATCTAATGAAGGTTGAAGATGAATTTGACCTTCTCCAATAACCTTGCTTGGGACCTATATTCTGACCTCCATTGCATACTGCTTTGTCCAAAGGGCAAGTAGCGCAATCCCCAGGCTTAGTCATGATTTCCAAAGAGTAGGTTTCTCCTTCAGGACATTGAACACATTTGCCTGCTGTTGTAAATTGCTCCCCTAATGAGCAACCTCTGACCTCTATTACTATGTCCGTGTCTAATGATTTGCTATTAGATCCAATTTGCTTTAGATACTGAATGTTCGACTGCTTAGTCATATCAATGCCATCAGTAGAGAAGGATATGCTGAACTTGTACCCAGGAGTTGCTGTGAATATCAAATCTCTAGCAATAATCATTCCTGATACTGCAATAAACTATGTATCTCCTTCGATAACAGGTGGGTATTCATTTGCTTTTTCCAATGTATTAGCACTTTGGTTAACTGTTACTCTGACTTTACTAGATGAATCTGAACCCACTATCTGCCCATATTTGTCAACATGAGCCAGATATATTCTAGGAATAACTCCTCCACTTCTAAGACTGTTAACTGTAGTGCTATTCTCTTTAAGCACTCCATCTGTTAGTTTCCTCTGATTTATCTCCTCAATCAATAGTCTTCTCGCTAAACTTTCTTCATCATCATTGCTTTTCAATCCTGCCTTGACCATTTGTTTCAAATAAGTATTCCAGTTTATTACTTTTAGGTTCTAGGAAAAGCAAGAGATGTCGTCACCGTATTTATTAGCATAGTTACTGTCCATTTGCACATTTGAAGACTTGAAAATTGGTTCTATCACATCCCAGTAGATAGCACCTCCCTTGATTTCAGCAGTATTTTTAGTAAACTTATTTTTATTAATCAAGTCAAATTTGCAATTTAGTAGTTGCTCATCACAAGTGTAATAAATTGCTCCTCCAGCCCCTGATATTAACTGCTGAGCTGCTGATTTTGAGTAGTATACTGAGTTGCTAATGAATTAAGTATTGTTGAGAGTGAAGTACTAAGGGTTATTAAGATAAATTGCCCCTCCTGTAACTAGACCTTAATTACTCTGAAAGACTGATTCAGATATCATATATTTTCCATATTTGTCAATTGTCTTCTTGTTTACTTCATTTTCCTCAATGTATATGGCTCCTCCGTACTCGCTACTCAAACTTTTAAAAGTGCTGTAAGATATATTGATCTTTCTACAATTCAAGCAATAAATTCCAGCACCTTGATTACTATTTTCGTTTTAAACTTTATTCATTGTAGTCTTGTACATATGCAAGCTGACTTGCTCTGCATAGATGGAATTCTTAGCATTTGGATTCGTCATATCCACATTTTCAATAGTTAGGTTTGAGTCTGTGTTGGAAACATAAATATCATCTCCGGCTTCTGGAGCAAGGTTCTACTTGAAAGAGGTCCTCTCTGCAATAATTAGGTTGTTGAAGCCAACTGCATAGATTGCACCACCATATGAAGCAGCATAATTATCTTGGAATTTACAATTATAGATTCTAATGTCACTATCTCCAGATATATAGATAGCACCTCCTAGGTTTGCAATTCCGTTTTAGAATTAGCATGACTGTACGATTAGGTTTACATCGAAAATAATAAAGAAGTAAGTGCCCATTGCAGAGTCACTGATTGCTGAGTACTTGTCCTTTCTGGTCTCGTATGCATTTGAAAATTTAGTATCGTATATTTGCACGTTTGAAAAACCCATGAATATGTTTTTAGATCTGATTGTTGCTTTATTGTTTTCAAAGCTTGATTTGGAGATGTAAGTATTGGAGTACATAAGCGAGATTGTATTTTTATCTGCTGTGTTATATTCAAAATTACAGTTAAGAATTGTGTTGTTAGCGATTGGACTACTTCCAAGCACTTGAATGGTTGCTGTTTCTGGGGCATAATTCTTTGTATAGATAGTATTAATTGTTGTGAAGTAGGATTCGGTACTCACATAAATGACTCCAGCTGATGCGTATGCATAATTATTGGTAAAGGAGCAGGAATGAATATACAGATAAGAATTTTGGTTGATTGAGATCACTCCTCCAACATTTCCATAGTTTTTGTCAAAGACTGTGCCCACAAACGATGCATTACTTTCTTAGCAATTGATGATTCCTCCTTGGGCTCCAGCATTAAGATGATAATAAGACTTAGTATCATTGAAATTAGTCTATTACAGGGTGAATACTCCACCAAAGTTAGTAATGCCACACTTATAGTATTCATTTGCTTCAGATAGCAGCAATTTAGCATTTCTTATCATAAAGTTAGACTGTAGCTGATACTTGGGCTCAACTAGGTCCAAATATGTTCCAAGTTCAAGAGGATCGAAATTAGGCTGGCATTCGACGTAGTTGGAGTAGAGATATATTTCTACAACTGTCGAAGTAGAAAATATAGTAGCCCCCACCGGAGCAACTGAATCAGACAGTCTTGAGTTTACAATATTGATCCTAGCAGCATCTACTATGTTGATCATCCCACCATATTCAACAGCTGTTACAGTGTAAATATTGGTCTTGTATATGTTAATGGTGACATATTAATTCTCAGTGCTTAAGAAACCTCCCTGGTTGGCATAGTTGAATTAGGTTTCAATACAGTCAGAAATTTCGAGCCAAAGATTTGAGATCGCTCCTAATCCAGACTTTATAATGTTGATAACTCCCCCTTTTTATTCTGCATAGTTGTAAGTCATTGATGTTTATGATATGTTCACTTATGCTTAATTATCCAAAAGGATTGCTCCACCACTATATGCTTGATTAGAGCTAAAGGATGCTTTGCTGATTTTGAGAATGCAGCTATCGCACTTGATTGCTCCACCTCCTACAGCAGCATTTTAGAAGTAAGTAGATCCTATTTCTATCATTGTGATTGATATCAAAGTGTAGACTCCTCCGATAGAACCGATGTAACAGTTTCTATATTCATTATAGTTTGAGAATATTCCTTTTGTAGAACCTGAGATGTAGATAGCTCCAGCAAAATTTGAAGTCTAGGCTGAAAGCCTTGATCTGACACTGTCCCTATTGTAAGTCAGCTTGCCTTGGACAATGGTCTGGCTTATGTTTAGCTTTAAATTGGTAGCGACTGAATATATGCATGATCCATAATTTTCAGCTGCAAAAACAGACATTATGCTCTTCTTATTAGGGTCATCAGATCTGAAACGTAATTCTCCATCTAATGCATTGATGCTGAAAACACCTCCAGACTAAGTAGTTGTTGAGTTGTTTATATCGATTGCATTCATATCAATTAGACTCAATTCATTTGAGTCTATATAGAACACTCCACCTTGCATTCCAGAATGTGATCCACTTATTGATGTATGAGAAAATTTCATTGTAGTTTAGATAGTAGGATTGACTGGCTAGCTAATGTGAGCTACTCCTCCATACTTTAGCGCCTAATTATATACAAATACAGAATTAGAGACGCTCAAAGGTGAAAATTGATTCACATATATTACGCCACCAGCAGAAGCGAATGAGTTATTGATTTTATCACCATCTATTTCCAGTGAAGTTTCATCTAAAAAGAATACAGACCCCTAAATAGCTGAGTTGTATCTATAAGTTGAGTTTACATCTTTCATCTAAGTTTAAAACAGATAGAATGCAGCTCCTTTATCTGCGAGATAACAGTTTTATATTGTATTATTGTTGGCTTCTATGATTTTAGCATATCTTAAATAAAATGTACCTGATCTTGTCGAAGTAGGAATGATTAAATCTATCCTGCCTTCAAGATCTTTTGAGAAGTCATAGGGGTCTTTCACGCATGTGATAGTGTTATTAGCCATTATAAGTTCTAATTATTCATAGTCAGAATATAGCATACTACCTTAAAGGTATGAAGTGAAGTTATGAAATTAAGAATTAGTTATGTTCAGACTTATTTATGTTTAAACGAATATGATTCCTCCAGAATTTAGTGAGTAGCAGTTTTAGATATTAAGGCCATCCATCAGAATGTTTCTACCTGTGTGATCCAAGTAAAAAACGCCGCCTTCATCCTTGGATGATGAATCATTTATCTTCATTCCTCTAAAAATTAGAGATTCTGTTGAATATCCTATGAGGTAGAAAGCCCCTCCTTGATAAGTGGCTTATGAATGAGTGATAGTAATGTTATCCAAATTCATTATTCCTTTATGATCTTTGATGTAAAACACACCACCTTGATAAGCTTAGTTATTCTCAAATATTGAGCTTTTGAGATTTAAGTTGCATTAGTCACAATATATAACTCCTCCAAATCTAGCCTTATTGTATTAATAGGTAGATCCAGTATCGTCAAGGACGGAATTGATCAGTGTAAAAATAGATCCTTAGTTTGCTATAAAAGTGTTTTCAAAAACATTTCTGGCTGAGATAATCTTATTCTAAGCATTGGAAACATATATTGAACCACCTATGGTGTAGCTTGAGATAAATTCACTGAATTCAGTAAATCGTTCAGTTTATCCGCTGATGGAGTTATTAATCAAGTAAATGACTGCGACCTGGGATTATGAATAGAGGAAAGATCCAAAGGTAGTTGATGAATAGTCTCTAAAAACTGAATTCTATATTGTAATATTTCTTGCTCGAACAATATTAAACACTCCTCCACTTCCACTTAGCGCCTTGGTATTTACTATTGATATAGGCTCATTAATGTCGATATCGAATAATGGGTGATCTATGTAGAATGATCCACCACTATTTTCAGAGAGTATATCAGTTAGATTAGCGAAATTTGTTAACTTAACGGATGCTGCCTGGCCTGATATGCTTTGCTTTGCATACAAAAACCCTCCACCTTGGATTGAGTAGCAAGAATTAGCCTGCAAATTTTCAAAATAAACATTCGCCTTATCCTATATAAATAACAATCCTCCTTAATTCGCTTGAGTATTTTCAAACACTGATTTTTTAAATGTAGCATTGCAACTTTTACAATGCATGTTTCCTCCATATACTGCAGCATTCCCCAAGAAGAATGAGCCATCATCAATGATTGTAGCGTTCTCAAGTCTGTATACTGAACCATAGTCAATAGCATAACAATTTTTGTAAGTATTATTCTTTGCTATTAGCATCGGCAAATTCTTTAGATAGAATGCACAGGCATATACAAATGTCCTTTAAGTAAGGTAAATTCTATCACTTGCAATTGTTGACTTTCCCTATAAATCAAAAGTACTTTAATTTATGTTGATATTTGCGATCGATGATTCAGAGTAAATGAATGAACCTAGCCTATAGGTTTTCACCTTTAAAAACAAGGATTTTACTATATTTATCTCTTGAGCATCTTTTATTTGCATAAACCCTCCATAGAATTTCGAAGACGAATTCTAAACAATGACGCTCTCTAATAAACTGAGTGTAGCTTTGGGAGCGTTTATATAGAAGGCTCCAGCATTTTACAATCTACTAGCAACATTAGTAATTGACACTTTTCCCTTGATCTCTATTAGCATTGTATTTTCAGGATCAATTATGCTCATGAATCCGCCATCACCAAAGCTTTCTACATAGTCTACAGTTAAATCCTGCATGTATAATTTGTTTGGTCCATTGAAGTAAAATGCACCTCCAGACCAAGCAATTAATTGAGTAAATGTTGCATTATTAATATGAGCGGTCATATTGGTAAGCATACACGCTCCACCCTATAAAGCTGCGTTGTTTTTGTATATTGAACTTTGATCTGTGAAAATAGTAGAGTCTAAGTTAAATATAGCACCTTATGATTGAGTATAGCAATTTTGGAAAGTGTTACCAACAGATTCAAATAAATCAGCATTTTTCACATAAAATAATGAACCTAAAGTTGTCCGATTGTTGTATACATCCGCATTAATTTAAGCTGAGTTGTAATTAGCACTGCATTAAAATGTCGAATTATGAATTCTAATTTTAGGTCCAGGTTGATCAGAATAAATCAATGTTCCAATGCCGTTACTAGAAATATTCTAAAAGTTAGCCAATGTGAAATTAGCATAATTCAGCGACTTAATATAGATGAATCCTCCATTTTGCTTTGCAAAGATATTATTCATTGTGCAATTAGTGAAGTTTAAGGAGAGGTCTATGTTATCTGTATATAAAAATCCTCCATCTTTATTTGATTCAAAGTAACTGATGAGTCCAACACAGTCAACTATATTGATAATGACTGGTCCTTTTCCTTCTGCATAAAATGCTCCTCCTTAAAATCTAGCTTTACCATAGAGCATTGTTGGCAAGGTGAATTCGATAGATCCGTTATTGATAATGTGAATAATAGACCCATACTTAGAGACAGAGTCAATAAATGTGACATTATTTAATTAAACTAGTGTTCCATTGAGGCTTATTACTCCTTTGTAGCCACCATTACCTTTATACAATGAAGAGTTATCTTGTAACAATACTCTCTAGGGAACATAAAATGTTGATCCAGTAAGAGTATTGTAGCAATCTCTGTATATATTGTTGTTAGCTATCACTCTACCTCCAACTGAATTATCAAAATAAAATAGACCTCCAACTCTATCGACTTCATTATCAATATTAGAAAGCATTGTATTATAATTAGTTGGCCAATTCTAATACATTGCAATACTTCTAATGTTAAAAAGTGAATTTTGTAGAGTGAATTGGATATCTGATGTTGCTGTACCGTTAATATAAGCTACAGAACCCTCTTGGAATGATGACATACCTGTGAATTAAGAATTATCTATATTGAAAGTCATCATATTTGCCATTGAACTAATATAAATAACTCCTCCTTTTAACTATGAACTAACCGATGAAATGTTAGAGTTTAGTACATTAAGAGAAATACTCGCAGCATTAATGTACATTAATCCACCACTTAAGGCAGATGTCAAGTTATATATCTGAGAGTTTTGGGTGATGCTAATATCCACTGAATTTTAATTATTTAAAAGTATTCCAGAGCATTGACCTGTTGATTTAGTTCCATTTATAATAGCTTCCTTAATACCCATTACAGTTTTTGAGTTTTCTGAGTAGATCAATGATCCTTAATTAGCATAGGAGTCTTTTATATTAGTTTATTCTAAGAAGTTTGCAGTAAGATCTTATCCTAATGAGAATACTAATCCCCCTTTACCAGAATCTGCTGATGAACTTATGATAGTTGTTGCCATTAATGTGAAATTCTTATTACCTGTTGTTGATGAGAAATAAGCGATACCACCATCATTATTCGCTAATATTAAAATAAATGATAATAGTTCTACCTTTAACCTTCTATAGATTGGAATTTCCAACAATTTCTAAATTAGATAGACTAGAAATTGAATATACGAGACCACCTTGCTTAGCTTAGGAATCAAATACTCTGACATTTTTCAAACTAATTATATTTGAAGTGAGACTGCCTAAAAAAATAAGTTTAATTATTATTACCTGAATAAATTGCTCCTCCGATTCCACCTGCTTTTATCTGGTTTAGATCTGAATTTTATATGCTAATTGTTGATGTTTTTGATAAGGCTGATAAATGAAAAACACCTCCGTCGTTGTCTTATGCTTCGATAACTCTAAACTTAGAATCGATTACATTAATGTTCAAATTCTGATTATTTGCTGTAATTTTTGATATCATTACTGCACCTCCACTTTTAATAGTTTTTATTGTATCGAAATAACTACCTTCAATTGCCAAGTCAAGATTTGAAGGTGAGGCAAAATTCAAAACACCTCCCTCTCCTCCAGAATATATATTTGTAAATGTCGAGTTTATACCAGTTGTCTGCTTTATATTCACAATATATGAAAGTTCTCTAACATCATTAATTATTATTGAACCTCCATTATTTGTTGAGTAACTATTTTTCGCTACTAAAGAATTAAAACTAATTGTCTAGATTGCATTTTATTCAATGTAGATATCTCCCCCATCAATAGCTGTATTGGAGTCAAAAGTTAAATTAGTAAAAGTTAGACTACATTTTGAACAGTATATTGCTCCACCATACAGAGCAGCATTATTTTTGAATACTGAAGATTAATAGTCTATTGTCTTAGAACCTGTAGTAACTATGTTTATTGTGCTGCCTTAATAGGCAGTTGTGCAATTGATGAACTATGAGTCTACAATTTAGCCATTGAAATTATTAGAAGTCAATCTAACTTCAATCATTGCTGGTTAGGTAAATTGGTTGCTTGTCAATTATCCAAGAATTGTTGATTCTCTATTAATTAATGTGCCGTCAGTTGTACCTATTAATGTATTTTTACTGACAACAAGATCAAAATTTTAAGTAGAAACTACACATACTAATCTCCCACATCCATCAAGGAGTCCACTAGTTAATTACGTTGCTTTGTTGTAGATGTCAGAGGCTGAAACTGCTTCTAAAACAAGTTTCCTTGCATTATTTATTCTAATAGCACTATACTCTTGTCCTTAAACTTAGTTGTATGCGACTGAAATATTCCTGAATGATGTATTCTCAAATCTTATATATTAGCTGTCAGAATCCATTAAAAATGCTCCGAATTTAGGAGAATAGTAGCCCTATATATTGCTGTTTTTAAAAATAATTTGATCTACTGCTGGAGTCTAAGCTGTTGAAATCGTATCCTAGTAAATATAAAAAATCTTTGAAGTGTCTGATGATAGAAAATTTTATACATTAAGCCCATCAATCGTTAACTTCTCAGTTCTAAGTGCACTATTAGAATCTAAATATGGCTTCCTCACAACTATCTCCATGAATGCCGACTATTAATATCTCAAATTTTTTTGGGTATTAGAGTTGATATTTATCAATGTCATGTTAGTGATAGTCATTGATAATTGTGAAAAACTTATGACAGTCTTTTAGCAATTAAAGCAGTCTACATCTTTGAAATAGAAGTTATTGATAGCAAAAGATGTAATGTGATTGTAAAAAACATTTGTGGACACCAAACCCAAGGTTATCATATTAATAAGCAAGTATTAATTTTCATCATTTTACACCTATTAAAATCTCACATTTCTAAATGTTGTTGATGTTTTAAAGCAATCTATGAATTTAAAGTGACTAGATTCAAATCTAATCAAAGGATGAATAAAAGCCTACTCTCTACCACTATAACTAGGTTCACTGATTCCAAAAGAAGATGGACCATACTAATTGTCATATACACTGCTGTAGTTATAAACTTCTAATCCATCAATCGTTAATTAGCCATTCATTGTTTAAAGGTATAAAATTGATGCTTTCTTGCTGTTGTATTATTACTCAAACAACCAGTTAGATTCAAATTTATTATTTGTAAAAACTAACTATCCTAATCTCTGGATGTATATTGGGCCAATAGCCTACTCATTGATATTATTATTATACATTTGAGAGCCTGTAGACTCTATTGTAATCTCACTGCTGGCAATTATGTATTTACCAAGACTATCAGTGACCTCCCTAAAAGCATCACCATTACCGATAAATGTACTATTATCCATCTTCACTCTAGGAGTTCCAAATATATGAAGTATAGCATTGTTATTTGTTGCAAAATTCTTAATGAATACATTGGATCTAAAAATTACCCAAAGTATGTCAAAAATGTATTCGATTCCATAGTAAGTAACTGAAGTACTAATTAAGGGACTGAAAGAATTGAAGTCAATTGCATAAAATTAGTTTTAAATTGTTGAATAGTGATCTATATTCTATAGTGTTCCTATAGCATCTATCTCAGCTTGGTAATAATCATAGCACTAAAATTTGACTACTCCTCCTGCTTTATTTGCACATCCATAATTTTGAGTAAAATAATTTGAATCAATTAGATGCCCTGAGCAGTACATATTATTATTTTTTGGGATATGAGTTGAAAGATTTTGTTCAGCTGTAGCTCTAGATCTAATATTTATTGTGCTGACATCAATATAGCCTGCATTTCTTGTAAAGGAGTTTCTAGCAATTATAAGTCTACTGTTTTTAGATCTGGCATGCAACTCTATGTAAATGATACCTTAGACTGAAGTATTGTTTGTAAAGTTGTTTTTTATTATATCGATAGGCCAATCCCTTTGCCATTCTATATTTATCCAGGATTTCATTTAAAACTTAGTTTTTGTGCCTAAAGTAGGATACTTGTCTGTCGGATTAGCCTAATAAGTTTTAATATATTCAGCCATCATGCATGATCCATACTTGATTATGTTATTGGTGAAAGTATTATTCAGCAAAATGATTGGGCCATTAAAAGTTTTGAGATCTAAGATCAATCCTTGGTATTATAATTTATGATTTGGATCGACAGTTGTAGGATAGGTTGATAAATTTTTCATTTTACCAAAGTTTGAGAAAGTTGAATCTTCTATCTTTGTGGAAAAGCAATTATTCAAAGTAAAATAGTTAGTATTTGAGCAGTTGGAAGAGAACGGGTTGAATCCATTGGAAAATGTATACTTAGCCTGCTACAAATCATATTGATAAGAACTAGATCTTGCTCTGTAAACTTCTGAGAAAGTAGTCATAGGTAGACTAGATGTGACAAAAGATCTTTTATTTCTGATGATTGCGCCGCAAGAATTCATATTGTCAAAAGTAACATTCTTCATAATTACATGACCACCAAATTTGTTAAGTTCAATGAAACTGTTGTATTCGTAGACATAGTTTTCAAACACAACATTCTAAATTTGAATGTTACGAAACACTATAATAAGATCATTACTTCTAGTACAAGAGTTGATGGCTAAGTTCTCATAGTTCTTTCAGTAATATCGAATTCAAAGAAATTGGTACCAAATGCTCCATAACACTCTTCAGTCCTAAAGTTTAATATCAGATTATAAAGTTAAGTAATTACGGAGCTTTTAGATATAAACAAGACTTTCCTCCTGTTAATTACCCATCACTACTCACACCACAGCAATTTACAGCGAAGTCCTAAGAGCAGAGATTACCTGAGTCAAAATCTCTTGTCATATCAATAGTTGAATCGATAGCATCAAATCTCAAATTTTGTATTGTTAGACCTCCTCCTACTAGAAATCTGAAAGTATCCCTTAATTTGTATAATATTTTTGCGGTAACTCCAGGCAAATCTGGTCTAATTATAATTTTAGTCGTTTACGAGAACTAATCTAAATTCCAAGGCATATAATGATCAACCGGATAGTATCTGACCATTGCATGAGGTGATAGAGAATAAATACCAAGTCTAAGTAAAATTGTAATTTCTGCACTAGTATATGGTGCTCCTAGCTCATAAGCTTTTTCAATAGCATCAACTAAAGAGGAAAAAGGGGCATTGTAAGTTCCTTGAGTGTTATCAATACTTTATTGCTAGAAATCAATAGCAGTGCCAACGTAGATTGACTGTTACAAAAAACTATTTGTCTTTAAAACACAAGATCCAACTTGTAATTTTCTGTTGGTTAATTATAAGTAATAGCCTTTTTTGCAGGATTTGCATTCTGTAGCTTTTGATCCTGTACACTCATAGCAGTTACTATTGCAAGTCTTACAAGTTGAATTAATCATAATAGATCTGTTTGTGTAGGCAGCATACCCATATTATCCAGCATCACAAGTTGGAGAGCAAGTAAATTAATTAGTAACATATCCATCACGACAGCCAACATATTCTGAGACTTAGGTAGGAGAACTAAATTTGCATCTAGAGACACCTTCATGAAATTAATCATGCTAAGTGCAATCTAAAATGAATTTAATGAATACTTAAAAGAATACTGTAACATAAATTATGAGTTCCATTATCATAAGTAGATGTTTGATTCACACAAATTTAGCAAGATTTTTCTGTCTAGGGAATAATACAAGTTGAATTTTGAACAGCTTAAGAAAAAGTTTGAAAATGAATGTAACTTACACCTTGTACAATCGGAAACAACTTTACCATATGTCGAGTTATAAGAATACTTGAGAAAGTATTCATCATAGCATTGGGAGCAATTCCATGTATGAACTTTACTATAATCTATTTCAGAATACCCTAGATATTCATAGATATAACAGTTTGTGTCATTTTTCATGTCTGGCTGAATGTTCTCACCTATTTAGTTGTGGATAAAATTTGAAATTACGACACTAAGTGATGAGCCCATTAGCTTTATCTAGAACAAGTTAAGAAGATCTTAGCAGGACTTAATTGATAGGATCTCCACATTCAGTACAAGCATGCGGCTATTATTCGCTGCATGCAAAACATTGTGTTGGCTTATTACAAGCTATAGAAATTTAATTTCATATGATTAATTGATTAAAGGTTATGCTGTGGACTTAAAATTTTAACTTACGCTGACATCTTTAGAAATTAGTATTCAATGAAGAAGATGCTGTTAGAAACCCATTAACCCATCCTTTTTGCTATTCCACTCCATTACATTTTTGGCACCCATGTTTAGAATTACAAGATTAGCAATGTTCTCCGCACCCTATATACTAGTTATGAACATTTAATGCATACATGCACAAGTTCTTGTTATCTCATTATTAACATAAGAGGAGTGTGCTTAAGTGCAATCTGGAACACACTAGGAATAATTCGGAAAGTACCCATTGAAAACATTTCAAGGCAATAGATAAAATCCATCTCCACACATATTACAGGTAACAAATTAATTTGTTATGGTTGAAGTATTTGTATAATCAGTGGCTGAAACTGTTGATTCCTAGCAAGATAAGCATCCAATAATCTCATTTTCACATTCTAAGAATAGGGTACATTGTTTGTAAAAAAATGTGGACAATCTTACTCTGGCAAGTTGAAGTCGAACTCTACAGAAACTCATCTCTTAAACCTATAAACATTAAAATAATTTTTATTACAATTTTAAGCTCTACTTATCATGAAGACAAGTGAGAAAAGAATCCAAAACGAAATTAGATTTTCCTTCATTTTTGAGATATTTTATTAAATAATTATTAGCTACTAACGTTATATATTATTCTCAAAAAATTTATTAAAAATACTATATTCGTAAATTCAAATAAATCTATTCATCTCCCTAAATGTGGCTTAGGGGTTTTGGGGTTTTGGGGTTTTGGGG